TTTAACAAAATTAATCTTATCTTAACGAGTACTGACCCCTCCCACCCGCCCTTTATTTTCTTAGAAGTATGTCGTTTGCCACACTCAGTCTTATCCTAACAAGTACTAGCCCCGCCCGCCCACCCTTTATTTTTTTGGTGAGTATGTCGTTTACCAAATTCAGTCTTACCTTGGAAGTATAAGATCTACCCTTCAGTCTGACCAAATAGAATGAGTCATTGAAATGGAGGCGGGGTGGGTGGGCGGGCCTAGGTTATTAAAAAAAAGCAAGCTAGAACTGAGGTGCAGTGACACATCTACCACTTTTGAGCAAAATTCATTGTACTTGTATATCAAGCTGTATTAAGACCTTTTTTTCTTGTGGGGTGTTGAAGATATCTTCAGAATGTAATATCTCCAATATTAACACACTTAAATTTTAAATGTAATCTGTCCATAATTTTTTCTATCATATAATACAGGGCAGTTTTTTAAAAGAGTTTTAATCATCACTTTTTTTATGTTGGTGAAAATTTTACTGAAAATGTACTTTTTGATAAACACGAAGAAATTATTGCAATCGAGTCCATCAGACGAATGGTCACTTTTATGTTTTCTCGACGTTTCATGACCCCTACAGTACCAAAAACTAGTCCCGTTTCCGTCTCTGACTTTTTGACTAATTATTATCCCCACCTACGTTGATGACGTCATTTCAGTGAATGGTATTCTAAAGTGATTTGAGTGTCACACAAAAATATACTCATATACTTCTAGTATACGAATCCACTTTCAGTTTTTTCGTTAAACGTTCAAATTTTCGCAAAAACATTTGCAAGTTATAATAACGTTTCATTCCCGACACGGTTTGAACGTCTGCGTGGCGCAGTGGCTGTATCGGAGTTAATGGCGACCTGCGGTATTGCGATTGTGGTTCGATGCCGAACTTGGCCTTTTCCTTTTTTTGCATTGGTATAACGCTGTGAATACTTTTCTTTTCTTTTATGCTATTACTACATTAGCCATGTTGATGACGTCGTCAGAAATTTTTTATTGGTCAAATTAAGAACGAGTCACCCCGTTTTCTCGAAAATGTGAAAAATAAGCACGTCTTTATATATTAACAATAATAAAAGAATTATAATATTCAGAACATTTTGTTCGATTGTGGTTTAAATAATTATTTTAGTCCTGTTTTAAGAAGACAAACTCATTCAAATCAAACTAACTTCTGCGTGACATTCTTTCGATGTATAAATATAAATAATCACTTGGGCTTCAGATTGGTACTACCTACTGCTGAAGGACAAGGGATATTATTGGATGTTATTTATGTCTCTGATTTTACAGCGGTTATTACAAAACGAAAATCGTAAAATCAAATTTTACCATTTTTTTAAAGAGTTGGATTAAGAATCTCATTTTTTAGATTTGCTTATACAGGTTACTCAAAAAAATTAATTAATCAGTCAATTTATTTTATTGAGTAAATTAAGAATTTCAAAACTGAATAGTTTGAAATATTGCAGACGTTTTAAAGTCATTGTAAGCATGGTAAATTGTTAACCAAAATAAATTTGTTTATTTCCTGCCAAAACTTGATGACGTTGTTTAAAAAAATACGATAGTTTTGACAATATGAAGGGAAGCGCAGTGACAGATCTACCAATTTTGAGCAAAATTCATTGAAACGGTACTTTAATAAGCTGTAGTAAGACCAGTTCCTACTTTTTCTCTTGTCGGGTGTTCAAAGTATTTTCAGAATGTAATATCTCCAAAATTAATGCACTCATTGTTATATGAAATTTTAAATGTAACCTATCTACCGGTCTACCGTTAGGTTGTTAAAAAAAAATCATTGCACTTTTTCTGTTGTGGGGTGTTCAAGGGATTTTCAGAATGTAATATCTCTAGTATTAACACACTTATTGTTATATGAAATTTTAAATGTAACCTGTCCCTGTAGTTTTTTTACTTCCCGAGCGTCAGCGAAGAAAGTAATCCAGTCCATCGGACGAATGGCCACTTTTATGTTTTCTCGACGTTCCATGACCCCTATAGTACCAAAAATGTAGTCATCTTTCCGTCTGTCGGTCTATCTGTTTGTATCCATTTTTGTTAGACACGTATTCTCCGACACTGCTGGAGCAATTTTTGTCAAATTTTGTATGTGTTTTACAAATATGATGTTTTTGGCTAGTTAACCCCACCTACAATTTGATGACGTCATTTTAATGAATGGTATTCTAAAATGATTTGAATGTAACACAAAAATATACTCCTATACTTGAAGTGTACGAATCCACTTTCTGTATTTTCGCTAAACGTTCCAATTTTCGCAAAAGCATTTGCAAGGTATAATAACGTTTCATTCCTGACAAGGTTTGGACGTCTTGGCGGGGCAGTGAGTGTATCGGAGATCATGGCACCTACGATTGTGGTTCGATGCCAAACTTGACCTTTTTCTATTTTTGCATTGGTGTAACGCTATGACTACTTTTCTTTTATGCTGTGGCTAGAATTATCCATGTTGATGACGTCATCACAATTTTTTTGGGTCTAATTAAGAACGAGTCACCCCATTTTCTCGAAAATGTGAAAAATACGTCTTTATATATTAACAATAACAAAAGAGTTATAATATTCAGAACATTTTGTTCAATTGTGGTTGAAATAATCATTTTAGTTTTGTTTTGAGAAGAGAAACTCGTTCAAATCAAACTAACTTCTACGTGACATTCTTTCGATGTATAAATATAAATAATCACTTGGGCTTCAGATTGGTACTACCTACTGCTGAAGGACAAGGGATGTTATTTATGCTTCTGGTTTTTACTTTACAAATTTTATAATTTTTTTAAAGAGTTGGATTTGTCGGATTATACTTATAGCCTTCGACCAATTTTTTATTAATCAAATTAAGAACCTCATTTTTTAGATTTGCTTATACATGGTTATTAAAAAAAAAAAAAACTAATCAGTCAATTTATTTTATTGAATAAATCAAGAATTTCAAAACTGAATACTTTGAAATCTTGCAGAGGTTTTAAAGTCGTTGTAAGCATTGTTAATCAAAATAAATCTATTTATTTCCTCCAAAAACTTGATGACATCATCCCAAAATTTTGTCAAATAAATTGTACCCAAAATGTGCAAAATATGATGCGTTTTTACTTGCGATTTATCAAATTAATGAATGAGTGAATTTATTGATCAGGAAGACAATACTGTTATTTTCAGTATTAAACTGCACCGATCCAAGTTGACATACGTGTCCTCGCAATTAATGACGTCATTACGAAATTTTATAAAGAAAAAAGTCAACTTGAAAATGCTGGATATGTTACATTGTATTTTAGGTGCAAGGGAAGTGCAGTCGAAACAACTTTCGACCAATTTTTTCTAATCTTACGAACAAGCAGTTGCCCCGCCCACCCACCCCGTCTTCATTCCAGTGACTAGTCTTGATATTGTTCAATCTTATCTTTGCAAGTACCAACTAGCCCCTCCCACCCATCCTTTAATTTCTTAGAGGGTATGTCATTTGTCATATCAAGTCTTATCTTAGCAAACACTAGCCCCACGTATCCACCTTTTATTTTCTTCGAGGGTAGGTCATTTACCAAAATCAGTCTGACCAAATGAAATGAATCACTGAAATGTAGGCGGGGTGGGTGGGCGTGCATAGCTTGTTAAAAAAAACACGATAATTTTGACAATAGGAAGTGACGTGCAGTGACAGATCTACCAATTTCGAGCAAAATTCATTGAAACGGTACTTTAATAAGCTATAATAAGACCAGTTCCTATTTTTTTTCTTGGCGGGTATTCAAAGTATTTTCAGAATGTAATATCTCCAATATTAATGCACTCATTGTTATATGAAATTTTAAATGTAACCTGTCCACAATTTTCTCTATTATATAATACAAAGCAGTTTATTTTAAATAGGTACAGTTACACAATTTGTTTTTTATTTTGGCGAAAATTTTTATCACATACTTTTAAAAATCAATACCTCAGTTATTTATGAAAATTTCGGAACACGATTTTCACCTCTGTTATCTACAAATCTGAAAAATTGGTCGAAAATTCAAAATTGTTCATACTAAATGGGTTTTAAATTGTATAAAATAACATAGTCCTGCACATGTAGTTTATGACTCAGTGTTAAGTTTTTACAATGTAATTTTGCATCTGCAAATGCGAATGCTTTGAAACTTTCCAGATGTTTTAAAGTTATTTTATTTCTTATTTCTGAAGAAAAAAATGAAAAAATGGGCTAAGTTTAACTTTTTCCTACAGAATCTTGTATAAGCAACCAATTGCCCCGCCCACCCACACCTCTCCATTCCAGTGATTACTCTTAATATTGTTTATTCATTTACCAAAATCAATCTTATTTTAGCACGAATCCAAGTTTATATCGTGTCCTTGCAAACATGTTGATGAAGTCATCACAAAATTGTGTAAAGTAAAAACTCAACTCGAAAATGCTGGATTTCGACCAATTTTTTTTGTTGGAAAACTTAAGGCAGATACGTAAAGCACAAGTACAAGAGTATGTATTTTAATAAAATATTTTTGTAATTAATAGTAAATACGCCAATTATGTTAATATTATTATTCGTCTTGATTACCTGTATTTTAAACTATTATTTCAGATGAGTAAGAGGAATAAATTAAATTCTGGTTTTCGTGAAAGTCAAGGTTTCTATCACCCATTGTTTGGCCGTGATGTGCACTTAAAAATAAACCCAACTCCAAAGTTGGTTTATTTTTTATGTTCTTCGCGTATTATTCATAATAAAAACTCAAGAGTTAATGTATTTTTTTGGGTTCTTTAAAAATATGTGTGTTGATGTGGATGTGATATTATGACAAGAGAAAAAAACTCGTTTTCAGTGGTCTGCAGGAAAGACTAATTAGAATTTCATTTGGACCACCGCCTCGTCATGGTAATTCGAAACCTACACACTCGTGGGAATTTAGTGAGGTTGGAACGTCATTAAGGCAAAAAATTTGCAAAACATCTTGTTTTATTCAGTATTGTGGTGATGAAAATGGAAATGTTTCATTCAAAGAATATCTAGTACTATTTTTGCACTAACCTGTTATACCGACGTCATGGACTTTACTAGATAGATGAGCGTCAATTTAGAGCGGTTTTTTTTATAGACATGTGTGTAGTTTCTGAGTCAATTTATAATTGAACTACTAAAAATATCTCACAACCTTATTTTACATTTACTTAAGTAATAACATATCTGGAATATTTAAGTTTGGTTTTGGCAGCTTGAAGAATTTGCACCTTTTCGTCAATATTATCAACCTGAAACTCCACCTTATCGTCATCTCTGAGCACGACATTTTTAATACCACAAGACAAATCGAGTTTATCTCTCACAATTGCTCCCACAATCCTGACTAATTCGTCATTTACACCCAAACCTTCCAGAACCAGAGTTCGTGACAATTTTTGATCCTTCTTGACCAACTCTTTCAAAATTTTGTTGGTTTCTTGCTCCAAAGCAAGTGAATCTTGAAGCTCAAATACCCTTTCTGTTAAATTAACCACCATGTTCTTGCATAGAGTGGAGGCTTCATACTGTGGTGGACATGGTGTTGGAGTGTCACTTTCTGGTTCAGCGAATGAACCTAGAAGGATATTGCTTTGACGAAATTATGGTCTAAGTTGTACCAACCTGTTATGGTGTGTCGTCCGTCCTTACGATAACCCAAGCGGCCAGTTTGAACAAACACCCAGTAGTAGACTGTGTCTCCTGGTTTTAAGTGGACGTTTAAATCGCGAATGACCCATTTTCCTTCTGTTGTTTCATATACTGTTCCAGAAATGGTTCCAGGGTCGCTTTTTGTAATAGGATCGTTGATATTGGCATGAAAAGCGAAATATGTAGTACCTGGGCTATCTGGAAGGGTGACCTGAATTCCTTTAGGAGTAAGAGCTTCGATTTCTACATTTAAAACCAAGTCATGATTTCTTCCGCCAAAGACACAATTAAGTAAAAAAAATAGTAAGAAAAAGTTCGTAGCGCGTGTTCTCATGTTGTATGATTTTGGAACACTGAGGTCTTGGTTGCTGTAAACTACGATAACCTTTTAACTTGTGGTTTTTTGAATTATCTTACTGTTGTTGTTTTGCTTTATTTAACATTGAAAATAGATCAAATTTAAGTAACACGAGCTTAAAAAACCTTGTGAAGCTTCTACTTCGTGTTGTTGTTCGTGATGCTGGCGTTTAATTACTGTTTGTAAATGGAAAATGTTCTAATTAATTCCTTTGGTAATTACATATTATAATCAACAAACAAATTAGTCAATTACATTTCCCGCTTGTATTCGAACGCTTGGTTTACAAATTCTGACTACTGAATAATAAACGCAAAGTATGAAATCTTATTTATTAAAAAATAATCACTGTTTCTGACGACGTTCAAAGTAATTCACTGTTGCATAAAATATAAACATGCGAATCCCTGAATAAAGCTTTTAATGACACAACTGATTATCAAAAAGTCGTTTATTTTTTTTTTTTTACAAATTTGCATTTTTATAAACAAAAACAAATAAATATAAAAATAAATAAATAAATAATTAATACTCAATTACGCTCAATACACTAGTCTGAAGTTGGAATGCCGCAGCTTCGTCTTGGCCACCCTAATAATTTCCAGCTTCTTCTCCAGACTCTCGACTTCGAATTGCACCAGACCGTTCCTCTTCCTCTGGATATTGTCGACTTTAAACGGCAAACCCAACTTATCTTCGATAATTGCCTGGACGATCACCCCCAGCTCATCATCCTGTACTTTGACGCCGTCCAAAGCGAGGGTCGTCGAGGTCGTGGGGTGCTTCTTCACCATATCCTTTAAGATATCATTCGTCTCCCTTAGGGAGTCAATTTCTTGCTGCAAATCGCACACCCTCTGCGTGAGATTCAGCACCACCTTTTCACAGATAGAGCCAGTGCGACTGCAAAGCGTCGGGGGCTGGGGGGTGGGAGCAGGAACCGCCTCTTCGGGGGCAGATGACTCCTTGTCCGGAAGCGAAAAATCTGCAACAAGAGATAAAGTTTGTACTACAAAAATGATCAGGTTTGCTTTATTGGTAGGTAACTAAGGTAATTTCTATGCATTGCGTCATCATTTTAATTTCTTTATGCACTCGCCACTCTTTGAACTTTACTCTGACACTCGAACGAAGTTTGCAGAAGCTGTTTTTCATGCATATTTAGTAGTCGTTTATGTAAAATGTAAAGAGCGGTGGTCCCAGCGGGCTACCTTGAGGCATCGACCTAATAATTTTCGGATGAAAGAAATTTCTGCATTTTCACAATTTGTTTCACACTTCAAACACAACATCAATGATTTTATTGTTCTGCTTTAAAACCATCAAGTTTTATTTTATTTGTAGTAGTAAACGGCGATTTATGACATCGAAGACGCACAAAAGGTTGTAACTCGTGTCGAAATTCGATCGTGAAATATTTTCAATGGTCAAAGAAGTCGAGACATTTTTGATTTATGTTTTACTTACTTCTGCGGATGAGTGTTGTTAAGGAAACTTTCACCTTGTAATGGTGTTTGAAGTAGGTTAAAACGCGTCTATTAGTTGTGTTGATTGAGACGAGAAAATGTTTGCAAGTGCGTTATCCAATGCTAGGATGCGAAATATGAACAATGAGTGAGATATTCAACCGGAAAATTACCTTTAACCTCGAACATTCCGTGCTGTAATCTGTAACCAAGGTTATCCTTGACGACATACAACCTATAGTAGATCTTATCCCCGAGTCGCAACTTGACCGTGGAGTTCTTGTACGCCCACCTCTCGCCGTCTCTCTCCAGCACGTGCTTCCTCATATCCCCTATTTCGGTCCCATCCAGAAATTTATTAATACTCCCGTGAAACGCGAATAATTGGATGCCGGGAGTATGAGGGATGCTCACTTCCAGTCCCTGCGGGCTGAATGCTTGTATTAAGGGTCGCGGAATGGTGTATCTCAATGGTCGGTAATTATGGGTTGCACTTTGAACACAACTTCCGAATCCGGCGATTAATAGCACAACTTTGCAACAAAATGCCGCCATCACGGTAACGTATCGATTGTAGGTTTTCGAATGGCGAGCTAGCGAGATGACGGTTTTTATTTAATGTGTCGATTGATAACCCCGAGGGTCTTGAAATAAATCCGGTTTTTCAACGGTGCGATTCGCGGGAATCATTAGTCACGGTATTGTTTACGTGCTGATTTTTAGTTATCGAGGGAAACTGGCGTGCGACTGACGGCAGGGAAGGCCCGGAAAGCATGGGATTATGCGGGCGATAACGGACGGAACTGGTGAAAGTGATGGTGTTTACTGAAGAAGCGGGCGGTGGGTGTTTTCGGTGAGGCAGCCGGAACGTGTGTTTTTAGGCGTGGGGGATTTCGGAAAGCTGGGTTTGGAGAAGTTTTTGGTACGTGGGGAGTGAAGATGTTGCCAATATTCAAGAGTTGTAAACAACAACAAATAAAGCAGATTTTGTAATATGGTTTCATAATGTTTCCTGAATACTTGTAATTTTGTAGAGTTTAAGACATTTTCCGGTAAAACAAAACTTCACGTAGACAGTAAGTAAGTGTTACATTTTTTTTTTTTAGGTAATATGTGTAATTGATTTTTGTTATCAAATTGCGTATTTAAAAAAAAGTGAATAATAGTGAAAGATTTAGATTAAGTTTTAGGTCGAGGCTCTTTTTGGCGTCATATTTCATGATGTCATGAAGTCAATGTTTCTACACCTTTTTCCAAGAGAAAACCTTTTTGAAAGAATGAATATGGTTAATGATGAATTACCAGACTTCAGTACAGTGTTTACGACGTGGTTTCTATTTAAAGCAATATTATTTGTTGTCATAAAGTTCAGGTTTAAAATAATAAAAAAAATATTGCTATATTTAAATTTCATTGTAAACTAAATAAAGTAAGACAGTGAAATGGACAAAGGAGGTGGCTAACTTTCGCGTTAATAAATTAACGCCAAACGAAATTTTTTCTAGCTATACACTAATTTTTTGAGAATTTTTCAAATTTTAACAGAATCTCGACATCGTAAACAATATGAGAATGTTAAAATGTCATTTTCTTTTGTAATAAGGAAATTTGTCATCAATTTTCGTACTTATTTAGAGTTAAGTGAGACATATTTTTGAATAAAAGAATACGATAAATGATGAGTTACAAGATTCCAGTACAATCTTTAGTTCTAGGTTTCTATTCGGACTAATATTTTATGATGTCATAAAGTCCAGGTTTCTTTATTTTTTGTTACGAATCTTGAAGTTAAGAGAAAAACTTTCGCGTTAATAAATTAACGAGATTTTTAATAGTTTTTGGCACCATTCTCTAAATACACTAATTTTTTAAGAATTTTTCGAAAATTAACAGAATCTTGAAATTGTAAACAATATGAGAATATTAAAATGCCATTTTTTTACTAATGAGGAAATTTATCAACAATTTTCGTACTTATTTAGACTTCGGTTAGAGATACTTTTGAATAAATGAATATGATAAAGGATGAATTACAAGATTTCATTACAGTGCTTAGTTCTAGGTTTCTATTCGGACTAATATTTTATGATGTCGTAAAATCCAGGTTTCTGAATTTTTTGTTACGAATTTTGAACTTAAGACAAAACAATTTCGCGTTAATAAATTAAGAAGATTTTTAATAGGTGTTCGCAGCATTCCCTAAATACACTAATTTTTTAAGAATTTTTCGAAAATTTACAGAATCTCGAGATAGCAAACAACATGAGAATGTTATAAAATGTCATTTTTTTACTAATAAGGAAATTTGTCATCAATTTTCGTACTTATGTAAACTTAGGTTAGAGATATTTTTGAATAAATGATGAATTACAAGATTTCATTACAGTGCTTAGTTCTAGGTTTCTATTCGGACTAATATTTTATGATGTCGTAAAATCCAGGTTTCTGAATTTTTTGTTACGAATTTTGAACTTAAGACAAAACAATTTCGCGTTAATAAATTAAGAAGATTTTTAATAGGTGTTCGCAGCATTCCCTAAATACACTAATTTTTTAAGAATTTTTCGAAAATTTACAGAATCTCGAGATAGCAAACAACATGAGAATGTTATAAAATGTCATTTTTTTACTAATAAGGAAATTTGTCATCAATTTTCGTACTTATGTAAACTTAGGTTAGAGATATTTTTGAATAAATGATGAATTACAAGATTTCATTACAGTGCTTAGTTCTAGGTTTCTATTCGGACTAATATTTTATGATGTCATAAAGTCCAGGTTTCTCAATTTTTTGTTACGAATTTTGAACTTAAGAGAAAAACTTTCGCGTTAATAAATTAAGAAGATTTTTAAAAGGTTTCCGAAGCATTCCCTAAATACATTAATTTTTTAAGAATTTTTCGAAAATTTACAGAATCTCGAGATCGTAAACAATATGAGAATGTTATAAAATGTCATTTTTTTACTAATAAGGAAATTTGTCATCAATTTTCGTACAATCCTTAGTTCGAGGTTTCCATCCGGACCAATATTTAATGATGGCATAAAGTCCAGGTTTCTCTATTTTTTGTTACGAATTTTGAAGTTAAGAGAAAAATTTTCGCGTTAATAAATTAAGGAGATTTTTAATAGTTTTTGGCACCATTCTCTAAATACACTAACTTTTTAAGAATTTTTCGAAAATTAGCAGAATCTCGAGATCGCAAGCAATACGAGAATATTAAAATGTCATTTTTTTACTAAAGAGGAAATTTGTCATCAATTTTCGTACTTATTTAGACTTGGGTTAGAGATATTTTTGAATAAATGAATATGATAAATGGTGAATTACAAGATTTCATTACAATGCTTAGTTCTAGGTTTCTCTTTGGACTAATATTGTAGGGTGTCATAAAATCCAGGTTTCTGAATTTTTTGTTACGAATTTTGAAGATAAGAGAAAACTTTCGCGTTAATAAATTGAGGAGATTTTTAAAAGGATTCCGCAGCACTCTCTAAATATACTAATTTTTTGAGAATGTTTCGAAAATTAACAGAATCTCGAGATTGTAAACAATATGAGAATGTTAAAATGTCATTTTTTTACTAATAAGGAAATTTGTCATCAATTTTCGCACTTATTTAGACTTAAATTAGAGATATTTTTGAATAAAAGAATACGATAAATGATGAATTACAAGATTCCAATACAATCCTTAGTTCTAGGTTTCCATTCGGACTAATATTTTATGTCATAAAGTTCAGGTTTCTGTTGTTTTTGTTCGAATTTTGAAATTTGTCATCAATTTTCGTACTTATTTAGACTTAGGCTAGAGATATTTTTGAATAAATGAATATGATAAATAATGAATTACAAGATTTCATTATAGTGCTTAGTTCTAGGTTTCTATTCGGACTAATAATTTATGATGTCATAAAATCCAGGTTTCTGAATTTTTTGTTATGAATTTTGAAGATAAGAGAAAAACTTGCGCGTTAATAAATTGAGGAGATTTTTAATAGGATTCCGCAGCACTCTCTAAATACACTAAATTTTTAAGACTTTTTCGAAAATTAACAGAATCTTGAAATCGTAAACAATAAAAAAACAATGTGAAAATGTCATTTTTTTAGTAATAAGGAAATTTGTCATCAACTTTCGTACTTATTTAGAGTTAAGTGAGACATATTTTTGAATAAAAGAATACGATAAATGATGAATTACAAGATTCCAGTACAATCCTTAGTTCCAGATTTCCATTCGGACTAATAATTCATGTCATAAAATCCAGGTTTCTGAATACGAATTTTGAAGTTAAGAGAAAAACTTTCGCGTTAATAAATTAAGGAGATTTTTAATAGTTTTCCGCACCATTCTCTAAATACACTATTTTTTAAAGAATTTTTCGAAAATTAACAGAATCTCGAGATCATAAACAATATGAGAATGTTAGAATGTCATTTTTTTTAGTAATAAAGAAATTTGTCGTCAACTTTCGTACTTATTTAGAGTTAAGTGAGACATATTTTTGAATTAAAGAATACAATAAATGATGAATTACAAGATTCCAGTACAATCTTTAGTTCCAAGTTTCCATTCGGACTAATATTTTATGATGTCATAAAGTCCAGGTTTCTCTTTTTTTTTGTGATGAATTTTGAAGAAAAGGGAAAAACTTTCGCTTTAATAAATTGAGGAGATTTTTAATAGGATTCCGCAGCACTCTCTAAATACACTAAATTTTTAAGAATTTTTCGAAAATTAACAAAATCTTGAGATCGTAAACAATATGAGAATACTAAAATGTCATTTTTTACTAATAAGGGAATTTGTCATCGATTTTCGTACTTATTTAGACTTAGGTTAGAGATATTTTTGAATAAATGTATATACTAAATGATGAATTACAAGATTTCATTACAATGCTTAGTTCTAGGTTTCTATTCCGACTAATATTTTATGATGTCATAAAATCCAGGTTTCTGAATTTTTTGTTACGAATTTTGAAGATAAGAGAAAAACTTTCGCGTTAATAAATTGAGGAGATTTTTAATACGATTTCGCAGCATTCTCTAAATGCACTAATTTTTAAAGAATTTTTCGAAAATTAACAAAATCTTGAGATCGTATACAATATGAGAATATTAAATTGTCTTTTTTTTTTGCTAATAATGAAATTTGTCATCAATTTTCGTACTTATTTAGACTTAGATTAGAGATATTTTTGAATAAATGAATATGATAAATAATGAATTACAAGATTTCATAACAATGCTTAGTTCTAGGTTTCTATTCGGACTAATATTTTATGATTTCATAAAATCAAGGTTCCTGAATTTTTTGTTACGATTTTTGAAGATAAGAGAAAAACTTTCGCTTTAGCAAATTGAGGAGATTTTTAATAGGATTCCGCAGCACTCTCTAAATATACTAAATTTTTAAGAATTTTTCGAAAATTAACAGAATCTCGAGATCGTAAACAATATGAGTATGTTAAAATGTTATTTTTTTTAGTAATAAGTAAATTTGTCATCAATTTTCTTACTTATTTGGAGTTAAGTGAGACATATTTTTGAATAAAAGAATACAATAAATGATGAATTACAAGATTCCAGTACAATCCTTAGTTCCAGTTTTCCATTCGGACTAATATTTTATGTCATAAAGTCCAGGTTTCTCTATTTTTTGTTACGAATTTTGAAGATAAGAGAAAAACTTTCGCGTTAATAAATTAACGAGATTTTTAATAGCTTTCCGCATCATTCTCTAAATACACAAATTTTTTAAGAATTTTTCGAAAATTAGCAGAATCTCGAGTTCGCAAACAAAATGAGAATGT